TTTAGCTTTTATTTCTCGTAATAACATCCATTAACCCAAGTGCTGGATGGGCTTTTTCATCGCTTTTTTTTTTTTTTACTTTTTTTGGCCTTTTTTTTTTTTTTTTTTTTTTTCAAGGAAGTTCTGGAAATAAGTCTAGCAGGCGAAAGTAGTTTGTTTACACGCCAGATTAGCAGCGCGCTGCGATTCGCCTGCCCTCGCCGCCCTCCTGCCCCACCATCGCCATCGGGTTTAAAGTGGAATCTCACCGGCCACGTGAAGTTAAAGGGCAACTTAATGGGGCTGTCAAATCTCTCCGTATCCTTGATGCTGAAGGAGTTTATTCCCAGAACGGGGGTGATGATGCTGCCGAAAGTGCAGGAGCCCGGGGAGACCACTGCCTGAAAATGCTTCAAACAAACGCGAAAGAAGGTCCTGCAGTGGGGGGAGCAGGGCTTCCCGCTGGCCAGAGACCCGTGGCTGTTCACGAATTCCTGCAGCTCCAGCTGGAAGACGCCAGAGCCGGACACCCTCTGCACAAAGGGGAGACACACAAAATAGCCAAATCAGACCCTACCCCGGCTTTGCCATGCAAACTTGCTTCCATCACCCACTTTACATTTCGCGAACCCTTTTTTTTTTTTTTTTTTGCGGTGTGCGATTACCTGCTGCAAAATCACTAACAGAAACGTCAAGCCAAAGATGCGCAAGGCTGTCATCCTTGTGTTATTCAAGCTTCCAGTTCTTAGTGGGTTTAGTTTTTCCTCCTGTATTCCTCAAACGGTCCAAGCAAGCGCTTCTCGGGCGAGGGAGAAAAGAGAGGCGTCACGGCGATTCTCCTGGAGCAACCTGCTCTTCCCAATATTCCCCGAGCACCAGCAGAAATCGGAAGGTAAAATCCAGGTGTCGATCCGTCGTCCCCTTCTGGGAATTAATCCTGCAGCCGGCCGCCGACCTCTGATCGCTGTCGTCGCCTTTATAAACTCCAGAGCCGGGTGGGTTTTGCGGGAGACGCGGAGGGGAGTGCTTTAGCGTGGAACCGCTCCTCCTTTAACCGGTGCTAACAGCGCTCAGTAAATGGAAAACTTGCTTCCCTTCGAGCTGTTTATATAGTTGCCTCGCATCCTCACAAGCTCATTATGTAAACTGTCAGTCAGACTCACGGGCGATCCCTCCCCTTTTCCATCTTTCCTTTCTGGGGGGAAAAAAAAAAAAAAAAAGAACCAAATGTTGCGGAGAGCCCTCATATCCAGAATTAATACCCTGCTGCTGCCGCCGCCGCTGCCGCGCTGCCCGCCGAGGAGCCGAGCTGATTACCGACCAGCCGAGCATCTGTTGAGATATTTACGGCGC